AAAAGTATATTTCCATTTTCTGTTGACCAAAAAAAAAAAAACAGAGGTTTGTACCTATGTTATTTGCTTATTATTTCTTGCCTATATCTTGTAATATGAGAAACTACTTTGGCAGTAACAATACACAATGTACTAACCATTGCTACTCTCCTAAAATCTTGTTTTGAGATTTTGTACCATTGTTTTAATTTTTTTCTTTAAAATAAAAATAACTAATTTAAATAAATAAATAAATAAAAATAAAAATGACTCAAAAAAAAAAAGATTATCTATCTGGAGCTGAGGTGTCCTTATTCCATGTGACAAGATGATGTTAGAAGGAACTTATTGATCACTAAATTCTGAGTGTGCTGATACACCAGATTGTGAATACAACACATACAATATCTTAGGGGCTGTATATGTCTATTAGTGCTACTGTAAAATCCCCCACAATGAGTGGATTATGTCAAACACACATTTGTCCTTATATTTCTGGATCCTGAGAGTTGGAACAAGTAACAACAGATGTGTACTTTTTTTTCTGAACTGGGATTGAACTCAGGTCCTTGCACTTACCAGGGAAGTGCTTATTCCAGTGAGGCATCTCCCCAGCCCCAGACATGGGTCTTATAGGATAGCAGTGTGCTTATGAATTTTGTTAAGATTCTGTTGCTATTTTTTATGGAATATACTTACAAATAATGAACTGTTAAATTTTTAATTGGTGAAATTATTGATACCTAAATCATTTAAATAAGTTTCTGGATAATTATAAGATTTATTTTTATAAAATGTCTTTAGTCAATCTTGCTTGAATAAGATATAGTGGAAAACATGCAGGGCCTATCATTACTCCAGTGAAAGAGAGGGATATGGGAATTAAATGAATGAAGAGCATGGAGGACCCGGGGTCTCAGCCGGTAAAGTCTGTCAAGTGTCTCGTGCAGCTGCTCCTGTGTTGCAACCCTGGGAGCGCTGGCTCCTGAGCATCTTGATCACACTGAGTGTTCCTCAGCTTCCTTTCAAGGGAGTACACATTCTTGGGCTATAAGGAGCAGGGTCTGTGGGTTCTGATCACCCCGAAAGTAAGGTTTGATTCTCAGCTCACATTGATTGCCTCACCATGGATTCTGCTGTCATCCAGACTTCTACTAGTTCCCTGTGCATCCCTAGAACCCAGGTCAGAAGAGTCATTTTGACAGAAATGGTAATTCGAGTCCTGCAGAGATGAGCATGGTTTCTATTAAAAATAAGCTTGTCTAACTGAATCTTCAGGGGTAAGAAAAGACATTCAATCAGAGTATCAGGGATGAGTATTATGCGGAGAAATCGCTGTTCCTGACAGGAAACTACTTTTCACTTCTTTTAAATGTCCCCTTGGACCATATATATGGCATGAAATTGTAAATTAAGCAGAGTGCTTTGAAACCATGGGGGGAATATATATATA